GCCGCGCGGCCTTCTGTTCTTCAGAATTCTGATTATTTCACTTTTGGCCCACTTTTTCTCTGAATTTGCAGTTTTCACCCCAAAAGTTGCCAATTCTTCAATTTGCACCTAAAATACAAATAATAACCATATTAAGCACCAATTATCGTAAAAACACATCAAAAGCTCCAATTAAAAGGTACCATTAAGTGTATAAATATACACTTAACACGTGGTTTCCAAAATTCCGAAAATTCAACAATTTTGGAATTGGAATAAATTTCTAGATCCCGAAGATGTTGAAATTAAAATTGGAATTAGTTTTATATTTCAAAAATAAATGGAAATTTTCCAAAAGGATCAAGTCTCATCCATTCTATCCGTCTTTCACCCTTAGACAATTCCTCATATCCGAATAGCGATTTTTTATTTTTTTGGATGGTTGAAAATATTATTAATTACCAGAACGAAAAGAGTCAACAATCGGGGATGATTGATCAATGATGATAAGAATGGCATTCAATTCAAGCCTTCAAAAATCACATTTTCAAGCTTTGCATTATTGATGAAACGGCAGGCTTCAAGGATAAGCCAACACTTCAGCAGCAAGAGGATCATTGCAAATTGCAATGGTGGTGATTAGTCTATACAGTTTATTCCAACTCCTCCTGCGTTTATTTACCCCCTCTGTTTATAAGAATAAAATCAGCCTTTTAAATGCTTCAATCTATCTATAATACACATAGCAGTTAAAACAGTGCCATAATAGCCCGTCTAGCTCAGTTGGTAGAGCGCAAGGCTCTTAACCTTGTGGTCGTGGGTTCGAGCCCCACGGTGGGCGTGATAAAATTTTGTTTAGTTTTTTAATATTGGTTTTATATATTTTAGCTTAATTTCATTTTGCACCCTTGCAATATGGCATTTTGTCTTGCACTCCTACAAAAATGGCTTAATTTCTTTTTATGCCCTTGAAGTATAGCATTTTGTCTTGCACTCCGAGAAAAATTCAATAGCATTTTCCACCATCAAAACACAATAAACTATTCAAATTGCATCACAAATTGAATTTTTAATAGTTACTGAGGCCAAATTCATCTTTATAATGGCATATGTTCTTTTGGGAAAAATTTTTAACGTACAAAGTGCAAAAGTAAAATAATTACTCACTAAGTTAATTTAAAGCTAAATTATTTTCTCAAAAGAAAAAAACAAATCTCACAATTTAATAGTATAAGTATATCATTCGCTGTAATTTATGAAAATATTTGTCACAAATATTTGGGCAAATTACGGTCATCCTCTGAGGTAATGTCAAATTACGAAAAAACACCCGTCTTGTTTGTGTAAGTACAACCACCCTCTCAACTATGTATTTCCTTACACGTTCACCTTTTCATTGTCAAGTTTACATAGGGATGTTCCTCCGATTAGTAAACCGACCGAACCGAATCGGATGAAAATTCGATTACTGAACCGACAATTCGGTTCAATATTCAGATATATATACATATATATATTTAATACATTATTTTTTGGGCAGTCATCAAAGATATATACCATATTATTATATGGACATGAATAAAAGTTACCGACTACGTACATTTAGGAAGTGATAAGAATTTGGACAGTCAACAAATAAAATATATAAAAAGGAGATCAATAATGCAAGAGTACTTCCTCTTGCTCCATTCGCTTATATTCATTTGATAGTATAATAATTAGGGTAAACTAAACCTACACCCCTGAGGTATGTCAAAATAACTTTAAGGTCCCTATAGTATTGGTAATTACAACCACACTCATGAAACAATTACCGGATCCAAGATTTCATGTTCTGGGAACCGATATCCACTATATTTGTTTCCCCCGGGGTCGTTTATGCAACTATAGACGAAGATTTATAAATTTTATATAAAATAATAAGGATTTAAGAAATGTTAGGAGAGCCGTGTCATCTCCTAGCTCTATGTTGTCTCCATCACTGCCCGCAACTAATAGTCCGTTAGAACCCTAACGGAATAACTTATCCAATACATTATGCCGTTAAGTTGTCTAACAATGTTTCAGGGAAGTGATTGTAATTACTGATACTACAGAGACCTTAAAGTTATTTTCACATACCACAAAGTGTAGGTGTTATTTACCGTAATAATTATTAAACGGTTGTATTCAGATTCGCTCAACCATTACTAAATATGTTCACACATGGTGAAGAGGAATACATATAATTTTATCACACGTAAGTTTAGATCAATGCATCTCATTCAAAAGGTTATTTTGCAGCATCGATATGCACTATCACTTTCTACTAGATTTTTGCATA